TAGACTTTCTCAACTGGACAGGAGTGGTCACTCCATCCACAGATGTTTTGTTGAATTTGTTCAGAGTTGGACACACCAATAATCAAGCTTTTACCACTTCTTTCAATACCAAACTTCCCCTCTTCTAGTTCCCGATACTTCACTCAGGAGATTTGGTTGTGGATACTCTCAGCCAGAACTGGTCTCATCTCTTTCTGCATGTATACCCTACTCTTCATTTTGTCCCACATGACTTAACATTGATTTGTGACACTCTTTATCAGGTCCTGCTGGTAGCACCTTGTTGACCAGCTCACTCTTGGTTTTCTCTTCTTCACCAACTGGCATCTGAGGCACTTTTTCCTTTGCCTCTATTTTAGCCACTCTTGTTCCAACCTCATATGTCTCTCTTTCACCCAGGAGTGTCGTCTCTTCATCTTCACACATGGGATTTTTCCAGTCTCTTTTTTTTGCCAGTCAGCCCTTTTTTATCCCATTCATGTCACCCTCCTACTCTCTCTGTCTGTCAATGAAACAGACATTTTGTTTTGCTGCTGATCCATCTGCCACTCTTTACTACCAGGCCATTCTACTGTTGCCCACCTTTTGGCTTTCTTTACCTGATTTTTGGTTTCTACCATTGCAGGCTATTGGGCAGCCTTGTCAACCACCTTTTGCCTTTTTTTACTATGGTTCTGTCTTTTTCTATCCTTTCTAATACATCACCCCCATCCCATCTAATTATTTTGCCTGACTGAACCTTAATGTGGTTCTACACACTTTTATCCAGGCTTCATTTGAACCCTTGGTTACTTGCTTCTTATACCATCTCTCTCTTAAAACCTATTTCATTCTTCTTCTTGCTCATGGTCATTGCAGATCTGATCTTTATGCATTTGATTCCTTCCATACTTTGTTTTACAGATATTCCTTAATTTTATTCCCTAAGTATTCCTAAGACTTGGCTGATTAGAGGGAGATTTTACCTTTTCCCCATATGTCCTCCATTGATCTCAGCCCTTTGTGATCACACTGCAAATATACCATTTGACTCGCTTTCTGGATTTTTGATGATTTTGGGGGAAAACCTCCAGGCTAGAATGTGGACTACACCCAACTTCTTCTCCCATTATCTCCACTCTTAGGATATTGCTTCCCTCCAGTCATTATTCTCCACCCTACTCACTGTCTTTAACTCTTTCTCGACGGGTCTTCCTATGGTCGGGGTGAAAGGGCATATCCACCTTTGTCTGTTGGATATACAAGACTGTTTAGTGTAAAAGTTATTAAGTTTTCTAAAATAATTGAACCTATCTGTGTGGACTTTGATGAAAAGAAGACAATTATTTAAAGTTTTGGGTGATGTGGAGTATGTGTTATTAAGTAAAAAAAGCTTTTGTTACTGTAACACATACTAACAGATATTTTGACTTCCAACTGTATATTGGCATCATGGCTTTTATACAAAAAGGTTCTTAATGTGTATGAAGTACTCTTGAAAAAGGTTTGAAAATCTTGGATATTTGTTTTCATGAAGAAGCACAAACTTTCAAGACCTTACACACTTCAATGGATATCCAAATTTCAATGTTAATTACTACCATGCTATTTGACAAACTCAAAGCAAGAACAAAATATAAATAAAGTATACTATATTATTTTGTAGGCTGAAAACAAGGATGAAATGTTAAACTCATCACTTGTTTTATGTCATTACTCCATTATCATTCTAGTCCGAATGTATTGTCTGCAATTCAGTAAAGTTTCCACAACACACCTATGAAATGTTTTGTGAAAATGGAATGGAAAGCTCTGAATGTTCTTGTTTAAGCAAAGAAAGAGAGAAACTCTAAGCCTGGCTTAACATTTAGAATAACAAGCAAAGTAATCTTTGTTGTGATGTGAATGCCTTTTAAAAGCTGATGAAACATGATTATATTTGTCATAAGACATTAGTAATAGGCCTATTATATTTTTAAACACTATATTCTTTATCTAGTCCCTTAGGGATTTTCAAGAATTAGAAGCATGTGTAATAATAGTATTCTAACCACACTATATTTGCCATATCCATTGCCAATGACACATTTTGTTTAAATCCAGTGCTTTTCAGGTTTGCTGGTATACAACACACTTAGTAGTAGTAGTAGAAATACTATTCATATAAGCCATTTGTTAGAAACATTTTTATTTCATAATTACAGTTATCTTATTTAAATCTAAACTGATAATCAGATCACCACAGTATATAAAGAACACAAAAGTTGTTCTTGGTATTAAGGAATACTTAGAATGAAAAGCTAAGACACTGTCTTCATCTTGAATGTTATATATCTTGTCATATTCAATGTTTCTTTAAAATGTCTGATTAGTTTTTATAAGTTGGTTACTTATTGTGGAATACCTTAAATAGATTATTATCAGCCTTTGTGCAACACTTACTGTTTTGATCAAGGTGTAAAGTCATGGATACACGTTCTGATAGTTAAGATAAATAAACCATGGTGCTATAGAATAGTGAAAAAAACAACAACATGAAAGCCACTATTTTAGTAAGTGAGTGAAACTTATGTTAGCTGATTAACTTTGATAAGCTAGATAACGAATATGGTCAAGGTGTAAAGTCATGGATACACATTCTGATAGTTAAGATAAATAAACCATGGTGCTATAGAATAGTGAAAAAAACAACAACATGAAAGCCACTATTTTAGTAAGTGAGTGAAACTTATGTTAGCTGATTAACTTTGATAAGCTAGATAATGAATATGTGTGCATATATAAGATCAGTGTTTGCATTACATTGTATAAGATTAATATATTATCTATGTCTGTACAACAGTAGCTTATGAAATTTACATTCATCTACAACATCTTCAAATGTTTTTATATGATCTCATTAGGTTTAACTATGAGTATTAATTTTGTATCAGGGCTCACAATTAATACTAACAAATTGCTGGTTGTTGTTGCATTTTTTCTAATAAAACTTATAGGCATTTAAATAAAAATACTAGTACACATTTAATAAGGAAAATTTGCTGATTCTTACTGTCCAGTATCTATAAGTCCATGGGTGATACATATATTACAGTCATTTATATTGTATGTTTTTGAGTATAGAAGGTTACTATGAATATTATTAACAAGATTGTTTCACTTCCTGATTCCATAACAGTTTTGAGGTCATTGTTTGATCTACTTAGCATTTCCAGGCTAAGTGTGAGGAAATGGAGATAGCAAGACTGCAGCTTCAACTCATTTCATTGGTTGCCAAGGCAATTAACAATTGTGCCAGCTGATTAGACTCGCACCATCTTACCTCAGCAGAACAGTTTTGTTAACAGTGTGATTAGAAATACTGTGCCCAAGTGATTGCTCATTAGAGGTATAAAATAGAAATCATGGAAACTGTGGGTGTTTTTTCCACATTCCTCCAAATTTGTCTATGATTCAAACAAATATGTTAGGCCTTTTGGCTTTTAACGTTTTGCCATCTTTCAGCATTTAAACTGTAAAGATAAGCATCAGCAGTGGGTATTGTAGACTTTGTTTGTTGGATGTACAAGACTGTTTAGTGTAAAAGTTATTAAGTCTTATAAAATAATTGAACCCGTCTGTGTGGACTTTGATGAAAAGAAGACAATTATTTAAAGTTCTGAATACAACTGTGATAAACCATGGGGTAATGTAAGTGAATTTATCACAGATTGTAGAATAAAAAAGAGAGTAGAGAAAAATTGTTTGTCTTGTCAATTGGATTCTAAAGTAATTGAATCAGCCTGAGTGGACTTTTGACAAGAAAAGAGAACTATTTAGTTTTAGATACAACTGTGATATCCTATAGTGTAAATAATTTTTGTACATACATTTGACTTGTTTTGAATATATTATTTTAAAACAAGTGGATTGTGTGCTGCCTGTTTATTGTTCAAATTTATCGCCAACAAGTCGCAGATACCTACTGAAAAAGAATCTGAGCCCCATTTATAAAACCCTGACATTGTCGATCCAGGAGCATTTGGCCTGGATTCAGTTCTTTCTGCCCAAATTGATCACCTTTTAACTTTTGTGAAATATTTTGAATAATAACACCATGAAATGTAATTAAAAAAAAGTTTTGATATTCAAAACTATGCAAAAAGAAAAAATGACACAGAAGATTTATAAGGTAACCTGTAAATAATGAAATACAATGTTTTTGTTAAATATTTGATTGCTTAAAATTACTAACAGTTAATAAACACAATTAATATAGGTGAATATAATTTGATTTCTGAATTTGGGTGGTTACAATGATATAAGTAAAAAAAAGTATTTATGGAAATCTTAAAAGGTTTTGTGAATTAGACCTTTATAAGACAACAGAAATATTGCAATATCTCTACTCAAATTTGTCACTGGAAAAAAATGCCACAAATAAATAGGATATGTATATATTTATTAACATTTAATACATGAAATAATTCATTATGATACAGTTACATCAATTTTGGAAAATAATGCTGTTGCTAGGGGCAGTCCCAAAGTTGCTAGTTAGGAAAAACAAAATTAGCAACCAGTTGCTTATGTTTTGAAAAGTTCAAGGCTTGTGTATGTATATTAGGTATGTTGTTGAGTCGCTACTCATCTATGTATCTCCCATAAGAAATATGATTTCCATGCTTCACCTGTTGCTACGAGCAGTGGGTATGGCACGCTTAGCATGATCAGATTTTCGTATGCACTTTCTACTTATCTAGAGTGAGAGAAATATGTATAAATGGAATAGATGTCTTTCAATTTATAAACACGTCTTGCATGATTCACCTTTAAAATGTATGGGATGCATCAAAAAACCTAGGATCTTAAATAATTGCAAACATTTGCAATGAGGTCAAGAGTAAAAAGAAGAAACTGTAGTTACAATGTAAGTGAAACAATAAGATTAAAATTTTATGAGTGAATTATTTATTTGTGCTCAGGATTTATATATATTATTTATATTAAAATAAATTTGATGTAAATATAACTGTTTTCAGGCATGACAAAAATAAAGATGAACAAAGAAGAATCTTTAAGCTCTTCAGACTTTATTGAAAAACGTCGAGCAGCCCTTGAACGTTACTTGAATCGTACTTCAGGCCACCCTGTACTTCGAATGGATCCAGATTTTCGAGAATTCTTGGAACTTGAATCAGAACTTCCTCGAGCAACTAATACTTCTGCATTAAGTGGAGCAGGAGTGATGCGATTGTTTAGCAGAGTTGGAGAATCTGTGAGCAAAATGACCTTCAAAATGGATGAGTCTGATCCGGTAAATAATTTTTGAACATTTTATCCTAGGTTTTAATTCAACATAGAAGCATTGCTAGTGATAAGTTCCTACCTTATTATTATATGTAATCTCTTTTTTCTTTTGGAGTTCTTATACATAGGTAATTTACCCAGCTAGTGATAAAGAGCTAAAAATTTAATAAAATGCCAGACAGAAAAATAAGAACCAAGTTTTTCTGTAAAGGACTTTTTAATATCTATTTCATGTTCAGAAATGATAAATTATTGCTAAAATTGATTGTTGAAGAGTAGATATTTGTTATGCAAGTAACTTTTCCTTAGTTCATTTAAGTATTTCATGATAAATGGAATTTTTTTCTAATTATTAGTTGGTTGTTCCTTTGATACATTATAAAATCCATTCAATTGCTATTTAAAATTTTTTGGATGGAAAATCTATGTCCTTTCTGCTTTGAAACAAGCTTTCTAAGTATGAAATTATATATTTTTTGTCTCTACATGTATCAAATATATAATTTTCTAGTGTATTAACACTGTATCCATTTTTATTACATAGTTCAATACCATCTCCAGTTACAAAATTCATTAATTTTATCATCACTGTCCTCCAAAACCACTTATCTGTATTTTGTAGGTTTTTCTTTAATTTTCAATGTTTTTATAATTATCAATATAAATGTTTTTCCCTGTCAAAGTTGTGTAAAGATAGTTCTCAAACTTGATTAAATGTTACTTCTTAACAATATTGTTTGCTTGTCAAATCAAGCATAGTATCCTGGTGAAAGCACTTATGTTGGTCTCACTGTCAGTTGGGTCCCATCTTACCATACACTTTACTACAGTTTCTACATTTTTGTTTTAATGAGATATGTTTTAAAATGTGTACAACCATAAGCAGACACTCCATATTTATTTTTTGAAACTCTCTGAGCAAAATTAACTGGAACATTTATAATATATATACATATATATATATTCCCCAAAATATTTTATAAAAAAATGTACAGTATGGATTTGAGCTACAATTTGGGTACATTCAAAATGCAGTGAGTCTTACATTTTTAAAGTAATTTCTACAGTCCTCACCTCAAGCTGTAAAGTTACTCTGAATATTAGATGCCATATTAATTCAAAATATTTTTACTCAAAAATGTTTTTTAAGAATAGTATTTTGAATATCATTCTAAAATAAAGGAGTTGAAATTTTTGAAATGGTAACTTATTTTTTTAAAAAGTGTTAGTAATTTAAGAAGTAAAACCACTTTAGTTTCTTCACTTTCTGAGTGAGAGTTTAATATAAGAAATACTGTTGTAGTAGTCCTAATTTCATATATTTTAGTATTAGAAATATTGGTTGATACTGTGTAAAATATTTTGTTAGTTCTACTTTACTTCCCACTTAAATTAAAATGCTTAATTTTATTGAACCATAAGAGATTATCATTAAGTGGAAAATGTTTAATAATTAAGGACAAATATTGTTACATGTTCAATATTTACTATACTTTAAAAATCCAAAACAGTATCCTTACCTGTGTACACAAATAGCTGTTCCTTGCACATCTGTTTTAGAGATTTAGCACATGCCACCAGCCTTGAGTTATCTCCAAACCTAGACATGTTTTAATGTAAACTGTGTTAGTGCATGATATAATCATCATGTGACAATAGCCCTCCACCAGTAGGAGGGCAACACATCCTCCATGCACAGTATATCTTCATGAGCACTTGCACTCAAAATTAACTTCTTCAGCATTGTTGTGAAAGGATGTATTTATCTAAGTTTAAACTTTGTTCAATGTAGTGAGATTTGTGTTGTCTGCATTCAACCTACACTCGCTTTCAGTTACTGCATACCAAAAAAAATGGCCTAGAGGATTCCTTTAATAACAGTAATTCTCAAGTGACAGTGAATACTACCTCTTTCCGAAGTCCTGGTGATGTTGCTAACAGTGACCCCTGTAGGCTACTTGAATGTGGAGGTCATTACTGTCATTGCACAACATGTAGTGGGTTTGTTAATGCCTTCATTATCTATCTCTTTGTCCCTACATCAGAAGTGCTTCCCCTTTTCTGGACATGATCAGAAAAATTATAATTTTGATTGGCTCTTTCCACCACCTGGGTTTGCACTGGGCTCCTCTTTGCCTGTAGAGGACAATCTTCGTCATCCAAACCTCTTTGCACATTTAATTTCTGAGGTTTGTTTTTTACTTTCTCTTTCACCTATGTGTTTTGATTCTTCCTGTTCCTTACTACATGCCTATCTGGAATTATTTGGTTTTTCTTCCTTCTCCAGACATACATGTATATACTAACACATTTCTGGATCAACTTTGCTTTCACTCTTAAATGCCTCATCCTCCCCTTGATTTCAGGATTCATTGGCATGGTTTATGGCAGTTCCCCTTTTTCATTCTTGGCTTCCCAATCCCTTGAATCCATTTTACCTGTGGTGGGGGACTAATTGCCTTTCTCCAATAACTCTTTAGTGATCAGTTTTCCTTTGCTTTTTCTTACCCATCTTCTTTGTTACCTATCCTCTCTTCATCTGCTCTCTAAAGCCCTACACTGTGATCTTATAATGTTTTCCTTGAGAACTACTGTCGGCAAATTTCATTACTTTGACCAGGGTTTCATCATCTGCTTTGTCCCTGCATTCTTGGTTCCTCTGCTGTAAGAGTCTTTCTGGGATGTGTTGCTTTTCTCTCTCTGCTGTTTGTCACACTCTCTGATTGTTGAGTGGAGCATGGGAGACCTTTACCACTTACCAGTTTCTAGCTGCTATGGTGGTCAACTTGGAGAGTACCTCACTGGTTGTATGATCCCTCCAGGGAGAGTCTGCGGGTAGTAAAATGTGGTGGGAAGTAGGGCAGAGGTATCCATGGTAGTATAGTGCAGGTCACCCCTATTATATAGTATGCCAATTTTCTGGTGTTTTGGCCAGTCAGATTTTCATCCCCATCCCTGTAATGCACAGTAAGTAAATAATACATCAAAACACATCAAATTGTATGTTCTGATCATTGCCATAGCCACACTACATCTCTTGTCCAACTGATACAATCCATTGTGTGCAAATGCTTGGTTGATCATGTCCTTTTTTGCCCATCCCTGTAACACATTGGCTTCTTTGCCTTCCTCCTTTCATACTTCCATCCAGGGAAAGAGTTATACCTTGCATGAGATGGATGCAGTCTCCCATGAGTGTTTTTCCTCCTAGTAAGCCCACACTATAAGTATCACACTCCATAGGCTTTCCCCTTCAGTCGCATTCCCTGAAGGGAGCTTATCTAGGTTTTCGAGATTGCACTGGCCCATACACCACATCAGTGTGGGATTCTTGTTATTGTGTGAAGAGAGTAAGGATATCATTTTGAAAGTTAACATTTTCCTTACCTAAAAATGTATTCTAATAGATACCTCTGCACAATTGACCACCCTTCCTCCCCACTACTGGTGCACATTATTCTTGCATAATCTAAGAATGAAATTAATATTGATTGCAAGTGCTTATCAGAATCTGTGCTTGGAGAATGTATTGCGCTCCCATTAGTGGAGAGCTCTTGTCTCATGATTACATCATGCACTAGCACAGTTCACATTAAAACAAACCTAGGGTGGGAAATAGATCTAAGACTAGTGGCATGCACAAAATGTCAAAGGCAGATGCACAAGGAAAAGCTATTGTGTGCAAAGAGATAAGTATCTATTGGAAATATATTTTCAGGTGAGGAAAATGTTAAATTTGATGTTCATCAACTGAGGACATGGGATAGGCATGGCCTACTGGTTGGCATGTCAGGCTTTGGATCAAAGGATCTAAGGCTCGTAAGTGGTACTGCTGAACTGCTTCACATTTTCATTTGTGGGCACATTATAAAATTAATAGTCAATCCTGTTATACAGTTCAAAAAGCCAGGCAAAGCAAATACATGAATCCTAAGGGTATTTGACCTGTCTATTTAGCCTTCATGTGCATAAGATGCTGAACTGACTGAGAATACTGATTTCAATTTTATGTCTTTGGTCTGCCATACTTTTCCAAAACTATTACTATCAGCTATTGATAAGGAATGCAAATCTTCAGAAGACAGTTGAATCAAAAAGAAATTAGACATTTCAGTTTTTATTCTTTATGTTTACAAGTAATCAAGTGATTTTTGCAACATTTTCATATTTTCACTAAAATAGTATGTTACTCTTTGCTTGTTGGCAGTGGTATAGTAATAAATAAAGAAGTGAGGGAATGCATTTTGAAAGTGTTACTATGATTAGTATTTATTACATCACCAATACATAAAAACGTATTTCAGAAATAGTAGTTGTAAATTGTATTCTAAATCTACATTTGAAAATGTTACAAAAAAAAAAAAATTCTGTCATCTTGAACTTTTGAATTCCCAGATAACTTATTAACAGAACTTCCAAGCTTGGTCTATAGTGAGTTTCTAGGACATGACTGCTCTTGTTCATGTATCAGTTGCTGAACGATGACCCTTAGCCATTTTTATCCATAGTCATCTAGTTTCCAGTTTTGAATCAGAGAGCCGTAAAGCTAATGAACATGAGGTTTGTCACATAGTTGATTAACAACCTAGACCTCGTTTCTGTAATGATAAGGTTCATGCTTCTAAAGTTTTGTTCACATTCGGAAGAACTGCATGGGATGACTTTTGAACATCCGATTAAAGGATGCAGATCTGATGGAATATGGTGCCCACAATTTCTAGAAAGTCTCTGTATGCTGTGGTTGGTTTTGAAAAATGTTTACAAAGGAACTCTATTTCCCTTTTTCCAAAGCCTGGATTTATCTCTGCTGGCCATTCATTGACTTCTAAGGTACAGAGCTCAGAAATTGTTTGGAATGAAACTAGAAGTGTCTTTCTGTGACCCAGTTGGTTCATGAGAATAAGTTGGTGTGAATAACTATTGTTTCATATTGTTTATAATACTGGTTAAAAATTGACCATGATTGATTGAAGCAATCTTATTCTATGTCAGTGTTATTAATGAAAC